TTTTATAATCATTGTTTTTATTTTGTTTTATACTTGAATAAATTTATTTTCATTTAAGATCCTTTTAAGTCCTTTTTTGGAAACCTCAAGAGTATCTTCCCAGGGGTAGTGCCATCCCCATTCAAATCGGCACAATACCCATACACCTAGAGCCGAGACCCACAGGCTCAGGACCAGGTGAGCACACCACTTATTTTTTATAAATACTGTGTTTTACAAACACCAGCTACACATTGATCTGCTTCTCCTATTTTTTGTCTTTGAGAAATACCCCACATCGAAGGAGACGGGCGGTGCTACCCTAAAAAGCACACAAGCCAAAATACGGAGCCAGTGTTCTTACATACAGGCTCCTTAAAATGTGAGTGTTCCATTTATTAAGACACCATCACTAATATTTTATTATAATTGTATTATTATTTTAAAACCGTCTGCACTATATTGTATCTTTTATATTTTTTTCCTTGACATGCACCTTATACTCTATTATTGAATGAGAAACCATTTGGTAAGCTATATGTGTTAAAGCGCTCCACTTACTGGTATAAGTCTTTTGTCACTTACACCGCACTAATAATTCTAAGTTGCAGGCTTTGGTTATCCACTTTGACAGTGGAGGGTTGGGAGTGGATAGGGGGAGTTTGTAATATACTTATGACTTTCCAAAAGTTCCAGGGTTTGATTTGTTATTGTTCAGATTTTCTCAGAATTATTGGTCCTTAGCCAATTGTTTGTTTTGTGCATATATTTTGCCATTGTCTATATGATCGTTCATAGAGCCAGTACACATGATCCAATTCATATGTGCCCCCTTAACTCTCACCTTACGCATGCAAATTCCAAGCTTGTAGGAGTTTGGACTGAAAGAATTCAACTGCACAATATAGATCTGGGATAATGTTTAATCTGTGCCATGGGAGGTTCTTGATGTCATTTAGAAAGGATTCAAGATAACATTTTTTTAAAAGACCTGGTGATTTTAACCTTGGGAGAGGATTTAGTATCCTTAATTTTGCGCATGCAGTACACTAAGTGGTGATCACTGAAACTGTTAGGGAAAACACCTGCCTCCTGGATTCTATCAGGAGAAGTGGAGAGAATCCAATCAAGCAGGGTATGCTTATGGCTTTTAATGTTTATGCGAATTGGGGAGGAGATTAATTGCATTTGCTGCAAAGTCTTAAAACAGCGAGCAAGAACTATTATTTTTAGGATTCAGCCAATCAATATTAAAATCTCCAAAAACCAACAGTACACTTTTTTTAGTTTAGTTTGGTAGTATTGCAATTGTAGGGTTTTATATTTTTGTGGGGGTGGGAGGGATTGATTTCAACACTCAGATAAATTACAGCAACAAAGCAGGCCATGATGTATAAGAATTTGGTTCTCAGATTGTGGTGAGCAGTGCTTAAGAAGGTAGTGGTAGGAATATAACAGAAGAGTGAGTGAAGATGGTTATAAGGAATATTAACAGGGTCAAATTTGGAGCCATGAACAGAAGCGGAGATATACATTCAGACATACAGAGTGAGAGAGTGTATATATATATATATATATATATATAAATAAATGTGTATGTGTTTAGCAGATAGCTCCCTTATTTGGTGTCCTTAAATATTGCAATCCCACATAAGGATAACAAATAGGGGAGTTATCTACTAAACAACTGAAATTAAGAAAAGGGCTTTTTTTAAATTGATTTTTTTAGCGGTTTAGTAGATAATTCCCTAAATTGGTGCCCTTATGTGAGATGTCCATATTTAAAGATATCAAATTAGGATGATGTTTAGCAGATAGCTCCCTTATTTGGTGTACATAAATATGGCAATCCCACATAAGGATAGCAAATAGGGAAGCTATCTAATGAACAAAGATCGAAGTTAAGAGGTGTCAGCCAGCCCACAACAAGAAATCTGGGTGGCTAATTTGAATGATATGCAAATTTGTTGACTGATGCCAACATGCACTGCATGCTGGCATCAGGTAGCCAATGGCACCCCTCCCCTAGTTTTCACTGTGGTATCTTAAAGGACCACTATAGTGCCAGGAAAACAAACTTGTTTTCCTGGCACTATAGTGCCCTGAGGGTGCCCCCACCCTCAGGGTCCCCCTCCCGCTGGGCTAAGGGGGAGGAATGGGGTTAAACATTTACTTTTCTCCAGCGCCGGGCTCACTAGGCACTTGGGACTCTCCTCCTCCTTCGGTCGTCATTAGATCATTGGCTATGTGAGCTGCAGTGGTTATGGTGCTTGAGGTGCTCCATTAGGCATTTGCTTAGGGTGCTAGTAGAGGTGTGTTTAACCTTTCAAGGTGAGCACTGCCTTTTCTGCAAGACAGCCATGTTTTACCTTAAATGGTTAAATTGACAAGAACCACTTTAGTGATCCTTTGATTTCTCTATTAATCACCTTTTTAGTGCAGAATCTTAGTCTCCAAATTAAAGGAACACTTTAACATTAAAGCGAAACTATAATGCCAGAAAAACAGTTGTTTTCCTGGCACTATAGCTCCCTAAAGTGCCCCATCCATTGTGGACCCCTCTGTGGTGCAGAAGGGGTTTCATCAACAAGGGGTTTCACTTATCTAATTCCATCGAAGGTGACACTTGGCGCTTGTTCAGGCTCTACCTACTCTCCTCTCCTACCATCATCAGCTGGCGAGGGGCATGCACTGTACTCACCGGGTTCGCATTAGTACTTACCCCATAGGAAAGCATTGTATAATAATAATGCTTTCCTATGGGGTTTTGGGTGATGCTGGATGTCCTCAGGCACAGTCTAGACAGCCACTAGACGTAGAGTTAAGCCCGGCAGGTAATTATTGCAGTTAAAGGATCGCTATAGGGTCAGGAACACAAACATGTATTCCTGACCCTATAGTGTTAAAACCCCCATCTAGCCCCCCTGGGCCCCTCATGCCTCCATAAATATAGCACAATCTTACTGTATTCAAGCCAGAAGCTGTAACTCTGCATGATGTTTGTCTAAAAAAAAACAAGCAGTCTGCTGACATCATCAGAAGTGGTAGCCTGATCCAATCACAATGCTTCCCGATAGGATTGGCTGAGACTGACAAAGAGGCAGATCAGGGGCAGAGCCAGCATGATTCAAACACAGCCCTGGCCAATCAGCATCTCCTCATAGAGATTAATTGAATCAATGCATCTCTATGAGGAAAGTTCAGTGTCTGCATGCAGAGGGAGGAGATACTGAATGTTTGGGTGCATTTTAGGCAGCCATGACCCAGGAATGATCTATACCAGCCATCTGAGGAGTGGCCAGTGAAGTTATCACTAGGCTCTAATGTAAACACTGCATTTTCTCTGAAAAGACAGTGTTTACAGCAAAAAGCCTAAAGGAAATGATTCTATTCACCAGGACAAATTCAATAAGCTGTAGTTGTTCTGGTGACTATAGTGTCCTTTTAATTAAAAACTGCAAAAATGATCACTACAGATTTAAGGGACCAGAAACTTTGCAACCAGACCACTTCAAGGAGCTGAAGTGGTCTGAGGGCCTATTGTGTCCCTTTAAAAATTAATATATTTATTTTCAATGTTTGAGTGTCCCTTACTTAGCATGTTACCGGAGGAATAACAGGAACAAACCGCAGAAGCCACACATATGGATATGGACACAAGTCTTCAGGAAGTAACAGGTCTTTTGTTTACACACCGATCGGGTCTCACACTGAACTTGTGTTCAAAAGGTATGAGCCCAGAGCATAGTTTGCCCAGGCTATTTATTAACAATAACTCCTCCCATTCATAGCTCCACTCACACATACCCTTAGACCAATCAGTGAACAGGATATTCAGGATCACCTAATATGGGCAGATCGTATGACTCCTTTTAAGGACAAAGGAATGTGACTACAGTTGATGCACATGCTCAGTACATTGATGACAGTATCTTAGCTACATGTAACTAACTAACAGATACAACAAACACCTGTACTTGTATATGCCACATGGAGATTTCAGGCCTACTAAATTTTGAACCATGTTGAAATCCCATCACAAGCATACATTACATTCCTCACACACCTTGTGAAAACAATAACAAAAAGGCTAGCAAACGTACTTACTTTTGCTCCCGCAATGAGATTGTCCATCTGGGTAATGAAGGGTCCGAGTGAAAGGTTCTTATTAAGGCCTATTGGGCATGTACGGCACATTGAATTCAATGTTTCTCTATGAGATGCATTACAAGGCCAAACAAGGAGGATATCAATTATTGATAGGATTCACAAAGAAGTGTCTTTAGTGGTTGTCTCGTTGACAAATTCTTACAAATATTAATACTCACAAATTGCATTTGATGTTTGGAGTGTCCCTTTAACCAGACTATATTATTCATTCATAAATGTATTTTTATTATTTGATTCTCAAAAACAATTACTCGTACATTTTTATATTCAGTACAGAACCCTTCTATTTTATCATGGCGATTTCCAATAAGATAAAATACCTTCATAGAACAAGCCAAATTATGAGGAGCTCTATCAGGAATAACTAAAAATTTTGTTTAAAAAGCTTGTGTCTTACACAAAAGTAAATCTGAATTCTGGCTTTAGTTATAGTCTCTATATATTTGGCAAAAGTGTTTTGAAGGCCATCTAGATATGTTCTGAATGCCTATTGGATCAACTTATTGAAAAAGCCATGAGAGACCAAGGTAACACCTGTGCCCATGAAGGAAAGGCATATGTCATTTTGGAATAATATTTGTCTAACTACCCTTTTATGAATACTTGAACACTAGTATTCATTTATTGCCATTACATTTCTAGGCTTTTGTGGTAACGAAGACAGAATAGTCACACCCTTACTTACCATCTGAAAGGCAAAAAACATTTTAAGAGGAGCCCTTAAGCAATAAGCAATGAATTATTATACTAAACCCGCATGTCTAGCGATCTTGCGAAGTTGTTTAAAATAGCAGTATGGCATCTCAGGGAGGGCAGGGTAATATAATAAATTCAGAGTCTTCACAATAATATTCAGATAACATTTTATTTGCTTTTTTGTTTCATCAAAATGGTATGCCAATATCACTTTTTTTCTACAGCCCAATAATCTACAATATCAGAAAGAACCCAATAAAAAAAAATCAAATGGAGCAAGTTATGAGCTATACAGTACAAATTTCAAATTAGATGCTGTCTAAAGTGCAAAACTACTGCATTGATGATGAGTTAGAGAAGGAAATTAAAATACTCTATTTTAGACCAACAGTATACATATACATATATATGTATATATGTCACGGTATATACATATATATTTTTTTTATATATATATATATTTAATTTTATTTTTATATATATATATTTTTTTACAGACCGTACACCCAGTGATATCTGCATTTTTGTAAAAAGATATTTACAAATAACCAATTTCAAACATTTACATCAGCACCATAGTAAAAAAAAGAAAAAAAAAAAAAGAAAAAAATTATAAAAAAAGCAAAGAAAACTAACAAATATGAAAACAATTGTAATTTTTCTAAATATTGGTCCCAAAGTGGAGTATTTGGAGCAAGCTATACATAGAATACAAGGAGGCTAATCTTCTCTTTGTGGCTGTACTTCCCAAATAACGACAGATCGTATAGCATTGTCAAGTGGCATAGTCAAGGAAAAACAGACTTACAGCAACATTTAAATAACCATTTCAAACCTGGCTGTGCTCTTGAGTTTTGCTCTGCTTTGTAGTAAATTATTTTCAAGGCTTTCCATTTGAGACATCCATTCATTGCTTCCAGTTCTTCTGGGATTTATCGAGAAAGGAAGTGACATGAAGATGGCTGTAGGCAGCAACACGTATACCTTGTATTGACTTGTGAACACAAAAATGCACATAATGCTTGAGTCCAGTAACTGGGCCACTGGTCAAGGTAACCTGTAATCTCCAACTGCTGATAAACAGCAACAAAATTTATTTGGATACAATTTTTCATTGTCACTCTTTTTATCGAAGACGCACAAAAATACTTAAAAATCTGTAGCCAGTAGGTATTCTGTAGGTACTAAGCCACTGATGAACTACACCTGCCATTATAATTTTACAACCAGTGTAGAATTAGTGAATGTGTGGTCTTTCAAAGTCAGAGCGGCAAGGGGTCTATTCTGTGCTAGTATTGCACTCTAACAGTCCCATCAAGTGTTTTTGTCTGTGAGGGGAACACAAAGGTAACTATGCTTAGAAAGTCTCAGTATGTCATGTATGTATGAATGTCTCGAAAGTTCCTGATGGCCACCAATGGGTTATACTGAACCCTGTTAAAAAAATAGACTTCCAATCAGTAAATTCTGTCTGTAGCAAAACTTCATGCTATACTAATGGTAACAGAACTTCAAAGGGATTGTTGCCTCTGGCCCTCTTGTGTTTGCTGGATAAACCACAAGTAAATAAAACAATGCAGAGTGTAAATAGTCTAGTGCACGGTATATTGTTAACTGACAAATAAATATATTAAGCTTTATTTAAAACCTGCCTGTTTGCTTTTTTTATATTTGTGTGTGTGTGTGTGTTTTCAAATATATATTTGAAAGCCATTATGGCAATGCATTGCAAAGGTCTAATTATACAATACAAAGGAAACAAAATAACATTTGCATTCACAATTTTGCTCATTTTTGGTGATACAAATGTACAAACAAACACAGACTTGAATGATGTAATTTGTTACTATTACTGCATTTTGGCACTGGATTTTAGTTGCCCTGGTAGAAACAGAGGAAAGAAACACTGTGACATCATATTGTAACATTGTTTGAATACAGTGATTGACAGCAATGGACAATTACATTCTACGTAAATTACCCGTTTTTGTGTTTTGTTTTTTTAAATCTCTCAATTTTATTTTGTATTTTAATAGATACTCCATTTAAATCTACAATCTTGAGAATTTACCATAAAATAAAATATAAAACAAAGTGTTAGGGTGCTGAATTAGATTTCAGTGGCTATCTGCAAAGTTATCGTTATCACTAGGGAACCGCACAGAAACCAGCTGTGTTTAAGCAATACTTATCTGTGAACTAGAAGAGCAGGTTTAACGCATACCTGTAACTATATAACACCAAAGAGGGTAAAGTGTCATGTATTTATTGATTTATTTTTTTTGGCTCTTGGTACTTAAAGTAATCAATCTGTGCTGCGTTATGTCGTTTGTTATGTTTTCTACATGTACTGTTGTCTTACTCCATTGGTACTGGAATCCAGGCTAAGGGCAGACAACTGGCCATGATTTCTGAAGATCAATTTATTGTGGTCTGTTAGCTGCTCTTCACACTTGACACTTTTACAAGATATCATGACAACTTCTGTGCAGACATAACCTGAATCCCCACTTTATGTAATGTGTTGGTTGCAGAAAATGTTGCACTGGTTCTAGCCATCTCCCTGTCCCAGATATTAAGCATAACACTTATTGACCAATTCTATTAGACAAATGTGTAGGCAGCTGTTTGCAAAATTATTTTATGCAAAAGTGGTAGAATGCCTGCTAACTTACATTTGGCCTACTTCAGTCTTTCAGGTAGTTGGGCACATTTTTTGGAGAGCCCTGTTTTTTTCCTGTTTGAGTCTCCATTGAGGAGCTTAGTGGTATCATCCCAGTGGACATCCAGCAGGGAGCAGCTCTGAGACCGTCATACCACTCCTACAGTTAACATCTACCAACATCTGCTACTGGCTTCAGATAGGAACACGTCTCTATGTGTAGCCGTTCTCCCACTGCATGCTGCATTTCTGTCAACTTGACAGAAATGCACTGATGACCATCTTGATTTCCTGTAACCGCCTGCAGTTCAGCTCAGCTATACAGAACAAACACGGACGGGAGTACCATCCTTCAACATTGAACACAGTATCATTTTTATGTTATATTGTCCAAGTCTGATCACTAGGGATTACCAAATAATTCATCAAGTTCCTGCATCCATTCATCTCCTGGTCCTCTGCTCATGATAGAGTCCACAAGGTCTGCACCATCTGCTATTCCAGGAAAAGAAGCAGCAGAGGCATCTGTATAACCGTATGACATGTCCTGACCAGGATTCCTGTCATAAGCTTGACCCTGGTTGCTTTGAGGAAAGTTACCACCTGGCATTTGATGTGTGGGTGCTTGATTAAAACTTGTCATATTAGAGATGCCAGGGTTCATAGCAGGAATTAATTGCCTGGACTGATTGGTTCCTTGTTGTACAGGCATAGATTGCATCATTTGTCTGCTCATGGCTGGATTTAGGCTTCGTACTGTTCCACTACTGTCTACAACACTCTGACTGAGCCCTTGTTGAAAATGCTGCTTGGACATCCTAGGTTGCCCAGTCTGCATTGGATAAACCGCTCCATTGTTAAAACCCCCCATATCTCCGCTAGTTCTGACAGACATTCCTTGCAAGCCACGCTGAGTCCAGTTTTGCGATCCCTGGGGTAAAGAAGTCATCATGTTTTGAAGTCTTGGTGCCTGGGGCCTAGTTAGGGCTTGACCTACAGGTCCCTTCATTTGCTGATGCTGTTGAGACATAACAGAGTTTACCAGCATGTTCTGACTAAACCCCCCAACCATTGCCAAGCCCTGACTGGATGAAGGCTGCCGTGAACCCTGTACAGTGCCATGGGCCATGTTAATGCTGTTTTGGTTTGGGTGCTGCTGCATCATTTGGTTTACACCTGTGTTCATACTGTACATTCCAGGCTGGCTGACCGATGTGTTACTGTAAGGAGCCATTCCCATTTCTGGTTGCAGGGGAGCAGTAGGCATCGTGCCTGGGTTTTGGGAAGGACCCATAGAGATCATGCCTGCATTTTGAGCCATCATTCGAGATGTCCGCATATTCTGAAGTGCTGCTTGGTTTCTGGCTGCTGCTATATCCTGTGGTGATCCTAAAAGCACAGAAAACCATGTTAAAAATCAACATTTATAATTGTTTTATATGTAATCATACAGAAAGCATGTCAGAGAAATGGTACAATGAATAAATACAATGAAACTTAGGAAAACAAAACCTGTAAGAGCAGCCGATTATAAAATAAATTATCTGACGGAATTATAAGCCCCCACACTAACACCCTGCAAGGTATTTTAGGATTTTTATCCTTGAGTTACTGTAATGCTAATATATACCCTTGAAAAGTATTATTTTACGTGTCTTTTTACCACAAATAGTTTTACAAACAAGTCTACAATATATGAATGTCATTTGTCTGAAGCTGTGTGAAACACATTTACACAAACCACATAAACGCCACACACAATCCTTTTAAAACATAAAAAAAAGGAAAAATGAGGGACATATTTGTAAGAATGATGGACAGAAGGATTAAGACCGCAAAGGCAGACAGCCAATCCTAATGAAATACACCAGGGGTAGAGAGAAAGCCTCTGGATTTTATTTAAATTGTCAGAAATTTACATTTACAACTACTCACCTGCCCTATTTTTAAACAATTGTTATAGTGGAAATGTAACGTCTCTGGAAATTATACCAGTGAATAAAAACACTGGTAATTGCATGTTACAGGGGGTTTTTTTTCCCTTCAAGTGTCTATTAAAATATATATTAAAGGATCACTATAGTGTCAGGAACACAAACATGTATTTCTGGCCCTATAGTTATTTAGGTGGCTTGCCCCCCCCCCTCCTGACTTAGACCCCCTCAGAATGGGTTAAATCTCACCTTATTTTCAGCTCTACACGGGTCTACCGGCAATGGTCCCGCCCCTTTGGTGACATCATCAAAATTGTCGATTTTTATCCAATCCAATGCTTTGAAGCAGTTTTGGCCAATTAGCACCTCCTCATAGAGATGCATTAAATAAATGAAACTCTATGAAGAAAATTCAGAGTCCCTATGCAGAGCGTCGGGACGCTGAACGGCAAGGCTGCTTACTGTGCAGCCCTGAGCCAGGAAGCCCCTCCAGTGGCCATCTGAGGAGTGACCACTTGGTGGTGTCCCTAGGGACAATGTAAACACTGCCTTTTTCTCTGAAAAGGCAGTGTTTACATGAAAATGCCTGAAGAAAGCTATTATACTGGACAAGTCGCATGAAACCCGAGCTCCGACATTACTACGGCAAAACAGCCAAAGAATCCTCAAAAACTACCTCCATAAGCCGAGGAAAGACAGAGGGAGCGTCAGCACACTATGAGGAAACACTCATGGAAACCCTGAGTGTCATCCGCGGGACATACCTACGATATCGGGCAACTTTTGTCCCAGGCTTGCAGGCCCAAAATGGCGGACGTCTTCCAAACCATGGGGATGGAGTCACTCTCTGCCTCAGA